TGGTTTGTTTTTTTTTTTTAGATGGAGTCCTGCTCTGTTACCCAGGCTGAAATGCAGTGGCATGATCTCGGCTCACTGCAACCTCTGTCTCCCGGATTCAAGCGATTCTCCTGCGTCAGCCTCCCAAGTAGCTGGGATGACAGGCACGCACCCCACGCCCGGCTAATTGTTTATTTTTAGTAAAGACAGAGTTTCATCATGTTGGACAGGCTAGTCTCAAACTCCTGACCTCAGGTGATCCGCCCGCCTCAGCCTCCCAAAGTATTGAGATTACAAGTGTGAGCCACTGTGTCCAGCAATTTTATGGTATACGAATTACATTTAAAGTTGTTTAAGACTACCAAAACCCCAGAGAACAAATACATAAGGGCATATTTGCAAAATTAAGTTCTAGAGAGCCAAAGGTTCCAAATTTATGTGATACTGATACATACACATTTACAGTATTCTGGAGAAACAAGTCAGAAGTGACACAAAGACAAGATTATCATTTTTTAACTTAGTCCATTTACCTGTGTACATGAGAGAAGACAGCGGATACCGCAAGCCAAGTGCATCTTCTGTAAAGGAATCAACAAAGTCCTCCAGCATGTGAAGCCCAAAATCTTTACCTCTGCATTTCTTTCTTAGAAACATTGTATCAAGAACTGGCAGTTGGTAACTTTGGGTAAGAAAAGAGGCACATATGCTTCCTGCAGTAATAAGAACAGAAACCCAATAATTTTTCACATTAAAAATATACATATACATTTAGTGACATGAGTTAACAGTCTTTCTAAAAATGTTTACTTTTTTTCCCATATCAAAAAATGTTAAATAATAAACGTTATAATATAAAGTGTTTTCCAGCTACTATTAGACATTACAATGTATACATGTAATAATGAAAGGAGCTATGTATTTTATGTTTGCTAGTAGTATCATCAAACATAGGACAAATAGCTCAGTACCATATTCCAAAATACATACTTCATTATATGTATTATATATACCATCACTGTCTATAGACTTAAGCAACTTTAAAACTCATCAACTATTGAAATTTCAAATTTGAAGAGTATTTCAAGCCTATCATTCCAACCTTAGTACCTGGATATCCTTTTTTTTTCTTTGAGGATGTCTCTGATCTGCATTTTATTTCATTTTTTTAAACATTCATATTTTCCCTCTACATTGTTCCTAATGAGTACCAATTCATTTTTATCTACTTGATGATAGTAAAGAAGTGAATTAGTTCTCCAATTTTTTAAGCACTGTAGATAGAGGCAAATTGGAAACATTTGTCTTAGACATGGATATAATTTCCTGTAGATACAATGCTAAATACATTTTGTATGTTTAAAGTTAAACAGGAGAAATAATTTGTAGTGTCTATATATCTCTCTCCTTATTATACAGCCATGCTGATTTGTCTTTTAAGAACCCTGCTCTATATCTGAGTTTTGACCCTTCCAATACATGTATTAACTCCTTTAATATATCAAGGTAGTTTACAAGTTGAGGGAACGTGGTGGCGTGTCATACTTCCTGTTAATATTAGAATTCATAGTTATCAGTCATTATTCTATCATTTTTCTCTCAAATAAAATAATCTATTATTCTCAGATTATTCATATGATTTTGGGTAACTCCAATAATGTAGTTCAAGCAAGAAACAAAATGTCAAACACCTCACAAATTGTCTTACCAATCGTATCACTTAATGAGTTGATCAATATAACAACTTTTCTTCAGTTCAACCAAGTGATCTGAATTATTTATGACTGAATTGGATTACTTACATAACCTTCTGGAACAATCTCCGAGACTACCAACTAATTTAAATTTAGAATAGGAAATGCATATGGTAATATACTTACATCTTTTTATTTTCTTTTTTCTTTTTTTTTTTTTTTTTTGAGATCAAATTTCACTCTTGTTGCCCAGGCTGGAGTGCAATGGCGCAATTTTGTCTCACTGCAACCTCCACCTCCTGAATTCAAGCAATTTTCCTGCCTCAGCCTCCCAAGCACCTGGGATTACAGGCTCCCGCCACTATACCCAGCTAATTTTTGTATTTTTAGTAGAGACGAGTTTCACCATGGTGACTAGGCTGGTCTTGTACTCCTGACCTCAGGTGATCAGCCCCACCTTGGCCTCCCAAAGTGCTAGCGTGAGCCACTGCACCCAGTCAATATACTTAGATCTTAACTGCTGACAGTTAGGCTATATCTAAGGGTCTAGATTTCTTGTACGAATCTAACAAGTAATATTGTCAGAGGTGTTTGAACCAGCACAACTCCATCTTAAATAGGAGCTGGGTAAAATGAGGCTGAGACCTACTGGGTTGCATTCCCAGACAGTTAAGGCATTCAAAGTCACAGGATGAGACAGGAGGTTGGCACAAGATGCAGGTCATATATACCTTGCTGATAAAACAGGTTGCAGTAAAGAAGCTGGCTAAAATTCACCAAAACCAAGATGGTAATGAGAGTGACCTCTGGTCGTCCTCACTGCTACACTCCCATTAGCACCATGACAGTTTACAAATGCCATGGCAACATCAGGAAGTTATCCAATATGGTCTGAAAAATGGGAGGCATGACTAATCCACCCCCTTGTTTAGCATATCATCAAGAAATAATCATAAAAATGGGCAACCAGCGGCCCTTGGGGCTGCTCTGTCTGTAAAGTAGCCATTCTTTTATTCCTTTACTTTCCTAATAAACTTGTTTTCACTTTACTCTATGGACTCGCCCTGAATTCTTTCTTGTGCAAGACCCAAAAACCCTCTCTTGGACCCCTTTCTGGTAACAGTCTCATCAACAAGCTAACGCAACCATTATGTTTTTAATACCTTGAAATTAAGGGGTTTTCATAGTAACAACAGTAGTCATCATAAAATTAAGAGACATTACTTTATAAGTAGTAGTAGTCAAGTTTGAAGTACAAAGCAAAAATGAATGAGAAGAGAAAGCACTGTCTAGTTCTAGTTCTCAATACAAAGTCTGAGGATCTATGGTTGTTCATTACTCTGCATGCTTCAGGCTCCTTACAAAAGAATACTACTTATATGCAGAAAGTTTCTCATAAATTGATTTTTTTTTCTATTTTCACAGAAACATTCCTTCTAGTAGAGAAAAGGGAAATTCCAGCATCTCAGACTAGTGTTAAAATGGCCAGTTTACAGAACAAGCAATGCGTTCACAAAGTTTAAATTTCTTCTACTATTTACTTGCCATGTACATGTTCCTTTCAGAAAATCATGCGGTTCTCTTCCTTCTCCTACACTGTGCATATTAATACTTCTGCTCTCCAGGGTCTGACTCATACAAATGCAATCAAATAAAGAGCAGAAAAACTTTCCATATTATCAGGGACTTTTAAGATCCACCAAAAGCTGTGGATTTATCTAGTAAAGCAAAAACTATAACCTGTTGTCTTAGGTAAAGTTTTCATTAAATTTACTAGCTCAGATTACATTTAATATAGCATTGTACATGTTAGATTGCTTATATTCCTCAGAATTCCATATTTAGCCTTCTCTTTTCCATGTGCTCTGAGTATTGTTATTCACCCCCAAGCCTTCTGCCATTTATCCAAATGCTGATGACTACTAATGCCTATCTTTAACCTCTGTAAAGCATGAGACTTCAAAATCAAGAATGAAAGAGCTTATCTGAATGTAAATAAAACAAAAGCTACTTGATCATCTCAATAGCTGCAGAAAAAGCATTTGACAAAACCCAACGTTTCATGATAAAAATACTCAACTTCCTCAAATACAGGGCATCTACCAAAAAAAAAACAGAGTTAGCATGATAATGATGAACCACCGGGTATTTCCTCCTCAGATCAGGAAAAAGACAAGGATATTTACCCTCACCACTTGCATTTCGACATTGTACTAGAGGATCTAGCCAAAATAATTAGGCAAGAAAAAGAAAGAAAAGGCATTCAATATCAGGAAGCTAAATGCAAAACAGTCTTTATTTGCAGGTAACATGATCTTATATATAGAAAATTCTAAGGAATCCACTTTAAAAAAAAACCATTAAAACTAATAAGTTCAGCAAGGTTGCAGGATACGAGATCAATATGTAAAAATAATTTGTATTTCTATACATTAGCAATGAACAATCCAAAAAATGGAATTAAGAAAACAATTCATTCATAATAGCATCAAAAAATAATAAATTTAACAAAAGACATGCAAAACTTGTAAAATAGAGATTACAAACACTGTTAAAAGAAATTAGAGAACACCTAAAATAAATGGAAAGACATCTCATGTTCATAGATCTAAAAACTTAATATTGCTAAAATGTCAATATTTCCCAAAACAACCTACAGACTCAAAATCCTAGCAAACTGTTTTGCAAAAATTGTCAAATTCATCCTAAAGACATATAAAAATAAGGAGCCCAAAGAGCCAAACTAATCTTGACAAAGAACTAGGTGGAGTAGGTTTTGGGGCTGTCTATGCAAAATCTGATTATAAATGGTTTATTGGGCCAGGCACGGTGGCTCACGCCTGTCCCAGCACTCTGGGAGGCTGACGCGAGTGGATCCCCTGACATCAGGAGTTTGAGACCACCCTGACAAACATGGTGAAACCCCACCTCTACTAAAAATACAAAAATTAGCTAGGTGTGGTGGCAAGTGCCTGTAATCCCAGCTACTTGGGAGGCTGAGGCAGCAGAATTACTTGAACCCAGGAGGCAGAGGTTCCTTGAATCGCATACAAATTTTAACTGCAAATGGATTCTAAACCTAAGTATAAGATCTAAAACTATTAAAATTCTTAGAATAAAACACAGGTGCAAGCCTTTGTCACCTTGGGTTAGGCAGAGCCTTCTTAGATATAAAACCAAAAGCACAAGTGACAAAAGAAAAAGTAGATACATTAGACCTCATCAAAATTAAGAACTTCTGGGCTTCCAAGAACACCATCAAGAAAGTAAGACAACTCACAGAATGGGAGAAAACATTTCCAAAGTATATATCTAACAAGGGTCTTGTATCTAACATGTATAAAGGGCTCTTACAACTCAAAAATAAAAAGACAACCCAGACTGAAACTAGATTAGCAGTTTCAAGGGACTGTGGGGGGTAAGGGAAACGGGAAGTGACTGCCAGTTAGTACAGGACTTCTTTCTGAGGTGATGAAAATGTTCAGGAATTAGATAGTGGTGATAGCTGTGTAAATATATGAATATACTAAAAGTTACTGAATTCCACACTCTAAAGAAGTTAATTATATGGTCTATGAATTATAACTGGATGAATCTCAAATTGTGCTGAAAGAACCCAGACCCTACCCCTGCCACCCAACTGCCAGAAAAAGTATATACTGTATGTCCTTATTTATATAAAATCCTAGAAAAAGCAAGCTCATCTACACTAACAGGCAGCAAAGTGTTTCCTCGGGAACAAACGGGAGGGACGAAAAGATTACAAAAGGGCATAGATAAACTTAAGATTACAGATATGTTTATTATCTTGATTGTGGTGATGGTTTCACAGTTATATATATGTATGCCAAAGCACAATTTTAAACTTTAAATATGGGCAGGTTTCTGTATGTCAGTTATACCACAATAAAGCTGGGGAAAATGTTTTTTAAAACAACCCAATTAAAAATGGCAAACGATGGCTAGGCACGGTGGCCCACACCTGAGATCTCAACACTTTGGGAGGCCAAGACGGGTGG